GAACCCGGGGGGGGGGGGGGGGTCGTACACAGAGCGCTCTCCATGCAAGACCCCCCCCCGCCATCCTGGTTCGGTTATGATTTCTCAACCTTTATCGCGAGGACTGGACAAGCTGCCTTGGAAATAGTTTATTTTTCCCACTATTTTCAGGCAATATATGTTACAAACACCGGGGTGGGTAGGGGTGGGTAGTGAATACCCCGTTCGAAGGCACACGTGTTGGCGTGATTACCGTTAGTGAGGGATGAGGGACAGATGTCTCTGCTAGATGAATTTCCTGGCGTGTTCCTTTTGGTTAAACCTCGAAATCGACACGCTTGTTCGTGGAACGTCTGCATGTGCACGCCAAGGCCAGCCGGATCTCCACACTTTTTTTTTTGTCATTGTTCACGGCCGGTTCCTCTGCACCCCACGACAGCTTTTTCTTCGACCATATTCCTGTCGCACACTGCTACCGCTGTGCATATTCATCTGTACGACCATTGCTACGCACCATACAAGCGTGGTTTAACCGCGCGTCTCCGCAGATAAGAAATGTCGAAGTCGCGTCGAGGCTTACTTCGTCACCACACCGCCACTTACTGCCTTTAGTAGAGTATAATTCTCGACGGAACTGTGTTGCCTGACCCATTTTCCGTTGTTTCTTTCTTCTGCGAAATTTTGAGCCTTCAACGAAGTATTTCTTGCACACGGGCCGGCACCGGTGTATGCCTTTGTCGTCTCCTCAGGGTGTCGACGGCAGAACTGCCGCGTCTTTTGACCGGTATGGGCACAGACACGATTGTGCATATGGCGCAGCCGGATCGGCGAGGGATAAAGGCAGGAGGCGGGCAGCTCCGTCTAGGCCGAGAGCCCAGGGCGACGTTAGCATGGGCCTGCGCAGTGCAGCTAAGAACACCTGGAAGCGTGCGCGCGGTGGAGGGAAGGGCAAGACACGCAGGTCGGTGGGAGTCTTGCCTGTGTGTGTGTGTGTGTGTGTGTGTGTGTGTGTTTAGTTTACTGTTGGGCATCGACCGCGCTAACCGGCTGACCAATAAGAATGTGGGTAGTCCCATTGCGGGTGAGAACGGAAGACGCTTTGTGCGTGTGTCTCTCTTTTCATTTGCGTCGACCGCGCTGACAACCGCCTCATGTTAAAACCTATGTGGCGACCGATGTTGGGGGTTAAATTACCTCCACAGAGGCACTGAGAGACGTGCCTAAGGCGAAACAAGCGCGGCGTAAGTGGTGGCGCCTTCTGCACAACAGTACACCTATCTTTCCGAGAAAGGCACAAAAATTTGTACCGTAGGTGACACAAGATACCACACCCCCTGGACCGATTTTCAAAGCTCAACTTCTCCGCGGCAGAGAGGATACCAAATCACGTGATTCGAGTTCGAAAAAATCTCGAAAACGACGACTCCAACGCAGCACTTTTCGGCACCACTGATCTATTACTGTGGAGAAATAACATATTTGAAAAATTGTTCCAGAGGGAGTGCTATCTTGTGTCAGGTGGTACGATAGTAGCTCAGAAGGAAGCTACCCCGACACGAGCTGTCCCACGAGGCTGTCGAGCCTTCTCTCTCTCCGATCACAGCAGTCTTCGAGACAAGCGACAGCAGCATCTAGGGTCGCTGGAAAATGCGGAGGGAACCTTGGGAGACGCATCGTAGCTTGCGGTCTTCTTTTCTTCGCGTGTTTTCTGACGTCTGCTCAGGATTTTTCTCCGGCGCGCAAGAGCGATCGATCATTTGCATCTCTGACGGCAGTTGGCCCGTGACCACGGAAGGCGGTCCGTCCGCGTCTTTTTGGGCCGGTACGGAAGTTGCGATTATTCTGAGGAGAAACCGGAACGGTTTTCTAACGTAAGATACCTACAATCAAGAACGGCGGCAGCAGCCACAGCAACAAGATTGAATGGCAGCAGCAGCAGCAGCAGCAGCAGCAGCAGCAGGAGCAACAGCTACAACGACAACAACACCTGAACATTCAGTCTTAGTATGCCCCGATACCCCCAAAAACCCGAAACAGCGATGGCGAGCTCAAGGAAGGCATAGCCAACTTCTATGACAAGTCTTCCGGTCTCTGGGAAGAAATGTGGGGGGAGCACATGCACCACGGCTACTACGTCCAGGGGGTGAAGCCCAAGAACATGGAGCACCATAGGTGGGTGATGGGAGGGGTAGCTGGTGTTCACAAATCGCAGATTTTGTATGTAGGACACGAACGGCCAACGCTGGAAACCAAGCCTGGGTTTCTGAACGCGACGTCTTAAGGCTGTTTTGGCCCCTTTTCAAGGAAGGCACGAGAGTGTGGCACCGTCGCTTTTCGAGTGTGTGCCCACCAGCCAGAGCCAGTTTCCCTTACTGTAGGTGACGCAACATACCACACCCCCTGGACCGATTTTCAAAGCTCGACTTCTCCACGACGAGGAGGATGCGTTGATGAAGCGATGCGTTCTTCGGAAAGCTCTCGACGAGACGGCTTCCTCTCCGCCGCCATTTTCGGCCCTGCTGCCACTCTTCTCTTTCTGCTTGTGGAGAATATCGACATGTGCAAATCGCTCGCAGGGGGTGTGATATCTTACGTCACGTCACGGACGTTACCGTCGGCAACCACGGGGCCACGTCTGGTTCTGTTTTTGGCATGGTTAAGTGGGGCTCGCCGGACATGATGGTGCCTTCACCGTGGTATTGCAAACCTTTTATTGCAAGCGGGTTAGACGTGTCCACAACGGCAGCAAGAAAGCGTCAGCGTTGGGTGTTGAAATGGGGAGCCGGGTCTATTTGAATGGAATTGGGCCGCAGCGATCTGTCTGTCCTGAGCTTGGCGGCGGCGTCAATCTTTCTCTCCCCCCATACATCTTGACGCACGTTTTGCCTTGTTTCTATCTTGTCGCGTCGTTTACCACACGTTTCCTCTGTGTGCCTCTCTCTCTTTGTGTCTCTCTGTCTCTGTCTCTGTCTCTCTTTCTCTTTGTCTTTCTCTCTATCTCTCCCTCCCACTCTGTGACTGTCCCTGTCTCTCACTCTCTGTTCTAGGTCTCTCTATCTCTCTCTGTCTCTCTATTGTATCGCTCTCCTCTATCGCCTCTAGTCCTGACGTCTCCAACCCTAACATATGTTTTGCCCTATAACCTTCCCCTGCTGCCATGAACCGTTTTTTGCCTGCCTCATTTCGTCTCGCCCCTCATCTTGCCAGGGCAGCCCAGAGGTTCATGATCGGTCGTTCGCTCGAATGGGCAGGGGTAGAGGAGGGAGGGGCAGCCCCCAAAACGGGAGTCGACATCGGTGAGTGACCCCCAGCGGCAAAACCACACGCACATGGCCACATCGGGCGCCAAGAAAACTCCCTCAATGATTTATTTATTCTTGGAGGATGTTGCAACCATCGATATTCTGGGCGCCCGAGTAGATTTTTTTTTTTTTTGTGACAGCCGGGGTTCTCCAGGAAGAAGGTGAGCACAGGACAGAAGAAGTTTCTCTTCTCCACACATTTTTTTTCTCCTACGGTGCTAGCCTTGATGTTGCTTGAACGCGAGAAGGTTTCATTCATCATTCAGCGGTCCGCTCCCTCGTTGTTGTGTGTACTCGCATCACACGACTGGCTGATGTGCACCACTCTAAAATATGCGTTCGTTCACCTGTTAATTGCGATCTTTTTTGTTTTTTTTCTCGGTCTGAGGAGATTGATTGGAACCCACCGAACGGTTTTTTTGAGGATGCAAGCTGAGCCACGTAGCCCCTGGGGGGTGACCGGCTACAGCAGTTTGTCTGATTTGGGTTGTTCGTCGTTAACGCTGCGCGTGCTGCGGTATGTGACGCAATATACCACACCCCCTTGACCGATTTTGTCAAAGTTGGATGGCTCCACGGCAGCAAGAGAGCGGCGGTGCCAAAGGTGGTGGCATTGCAACCTTAACCTTCTCGTCGAAAGCTTGCAGAACACGCACCGTTTAAGCGGTGCATCCTCTTCGCCGAGGAGAAATCGAGCTTTGACAAATCGGTCCAGGGGGTGTGACATCGCCTGCGGTACGCGGTTGATTGTTGTTTGCACGCGGTGGGATTGGCTGGTGGCCACGGAAGGTTGGTTGGCGTGATTGTCGCTTCGCTTGCAGACATGGACAGAGAGATGATGCCGAACAAATTGAAGATGAATTGTGTGTGTACGGCAGCAAGCACACGGCATCAAAATCTGCTCCTTGACTCCTACCTGTTTTTTTGTTCGATCACAACTCTCTTTGCACCTCGTTACCACCTGACCTTGTAAACCCTCGCACTCAGCACGGTGCTCGTGGGTATTGGTGCTCTTTTACTTCCTCGGTCACCACTCTCTCGGACTGCTGTCGTTCACCCCCCTCTCGTTAGTTGTGGTGATGTATGGTTGTGTTGTATGGTCACGCAATTGGTGATTTTTTGCGAATATTATCCGATCACGATAAGCGAGTCTTGCAGCAGTCATAATCTCTTGGTGCCTAGTTGCGCATGTAGTGATGCTGTGTTGTGTTGATTTTGCGGTGATCGTTCCCGTGCTGATACCTCTGCGCTGCTGCTGTGCTGCTGCTGCTGCTGCCGTTGCTGTTGTTGATATCATTGTTGTTGTCGTTGCTGCTGCTGCTGTTGCTCTGTTGTTGTTGTTGTTGTTGCTGCTGCTGCTGCTGCCGCTGCTGCTGCTGCTGCTGCTGCTGCTGCTGCTGCCGGCGGTCGTGGTGGTGTGGTGTTGGCTATGTCAGGGTGTGGTGTGGGGGGTTCCTCTCGGGCCATCAGCAGGAGGTACGGCACCAGCATGACGGGCATCTCTCTCTCTCCGGTGCAGGTAAGCAAGCCGGCTCTCCCCCTTGCTCCCAATTCCCCTACATCAGCAGTACGATTGTATCAATCATTTTACGGAGAGCCTCTCCCCCCCTCAGTCTCTTATTATCCATCGCCATGCGGGTGAAGGTCAACCGACCCTTTAGCTCGCATCAGGAGGTAGGCTCCTCATCAGAGTGCATCAGGGATGACTCTCTTGGAGAATGGTTGCCTGCGTTATTTGTCAAGACTATTTCGGCTGGCATTTTTTTTATCGTTTTCGAATCTTTTTTCGCAGGTGGAGAGAGCAAAAACCCTGTCTGAAGCGGCGGGTCTTGGAGACAAGTGCAAGTTCCAGGTACGGACGCTTGGGCGTGTTGGGACATAATTCTTGTTCACGTTGCTCGCAAGATCGATATTTGCACAACGGGCTACGTATGCTGTTTTTGTTGAGTTTGGCTGTACAAGAGTTGTGTTACCGCTTGTCTTTCCTCTGCGCGTCGTCGCGCAAAGCATCTCTGGCCGTAACAAGGCCTAGCAGCGACAATAGCCATGCCAACAGCCAATAGCACCAGTTTTACGGACACCAACCGCCTTCTGCATGTGCTTCGGTTCTATTCAACGTGGACACGACGACGGTACGGCATAGTTTGGACATGACGCGGATGCCAACATTGCCGCCGTTCGCCCCTTACTTTTTCGTGTGTCGTTTTTGTTTTTTGTTTTTATTGATGTCGTTCTTTATCGTTTGGTTGAATCACCACAAGTACGATCATCATCTATGCAGACGGGAAGTACTGGAAACTTAGGTACCATTTAAGAGAAAGCACGGATTGAAGAGAAAGAATGTGGGTTGTACCGGCCATGAGAAACGCCCGTAGTACCATCATACAAGGTGCGGTTTAAGAGAAAACCACGGTCAACCCGTGTGTGTTGGGCTGCAAGAAACTTTCTTTGAACCGTTGCCGCTGCACTACTTAGAACATGAGGCCTGCTTGACTGAAAGAAACTCTCTTTATACCGTACATAGCCGGTACTATACGTGGAACGCGAGGCCTGCTCGGCTGAAAGAAACTCTCTTTATACCGTACATAGCCGGTACTATACTTGGAACGCGAGGCCTGCTTGGCTGAAAGAAACTCTCTTTATACCGTACATAGCCGGTACTATACTTGGAACGCGAGGCCTGCTCGGCTGAAAAATACTCTCTTTATACCGTACATAGCCGGTACTATACTTGGAACGCGAGGCCTGCTCGGCTGAAAAAAACTCTCTTTATACCGTACATAGCCGATACTATACTTGGAACACGAGGCCTGCGACACTAACGTTGCACCTGGCTGCTGCTGCTGCTGTTGCTGCCGCTGCTGCTGCTGCTGCTGCTGCTGCTGCTGCTGCTACCACCGCTGCTGCTTTTTGTTTGTCTTGTTCTTGGATAGGTGGCCGATGCCTTGAACACACCCTTCGACACCGATTCTTTCGATCTTGTTTGGAGCATGGAGAGCGGAGAGCACATGCCCTACAAGCCGAAGTGAGACAGACTTTGTGATTCGCATACCCCCATTGAACATACTGGTTTTTCGCGCCTCCGCAACGGTCAAATTAAGTTGGCAATAGCAACAGCCGCACAACACGCGAAAACCCTCACAATCATGATCTTGGTCGATTTTTTGCGCGCTCGATATCTTCGTGGACAAGAGCATCATGACTCCTGAATGCGAAGCTTCTGTTGCAGTTCACTTCGATGTATATAGCCTGTCTTTGCCCTTGCTTTCACGAGCACCGACCACGATAACCGACAGACCAACGTTTTTTTTTTTTTCAGATTTGTTGGAGAATTGGCCCGCATCTGCGCCCCGGGGGGGCGTGTGCTCGTCGTGACGTGGTGCCACCGCGATCTGGAGGAGGGGGAGACCGAGCTTACCCCTAAGGAAGAGAAGCTTCTCGCAAAGTAAGAAGTAGCCTTGTGTGCTCTTTTTTTGAGCCATTCCGCCGAAGTACTTCGTTAGAATTTCCGACAAGCGGCCGATCGGCCGAGGTAAGAGAAGCGCACCCCGGAAGCTTCTCCCAAAGAGGGAATAACCTTGGGTGTACTCTGTAGTGCAGCACCACAAGAAAGGCGCCTGCAGAATCTTCCGAGAAACTTCTCGGACGATGCGCAAGAGAAGCGCATCCCTAAGGAGGAGAAGCTTCTGTCGAAACTGTCGAAATGAGAACCGTAAGTACTGTTTGGTGCCCCCTCCTCCAAAAATGTGGTGTGTTTTGAAGCTTCTGAGAAGCTCGGACGGTGTGCGAGAATCACTGCTGAGTGATTTGGAGGGGGCGGGAAGTCTGAGCCACTGTGCCCCTGACCGCTACATGTAGGGAATACATTTCTCAGAAATTGCGTGAGCAGTACTGTGGGTTTTAAGGACCAGGGCGCGCGGGGTTTCAGCGTTCAGAGAAGCATGCTGGATTTTTTCCGGCACCCCCCCCCCCGTTGTTCAGCATATTCTCATGGCGCTTTTCTGAGAAGCTGTCTCCTCTCGGTGGAGTAAAGAATCGTGCAGTGCAGACGGGGACATCACGAGCTTGCACGCTTGCGAAGCCCTTAAATGAGTAGGCGACGCACGCCTGGAATAGCGATTTGTGTTTTTTGCTGTTTCGGTTTGCAGAGAGTGAGATGGGGTGGGAGGTGTTGGCGTCGGAATCAAGAGGATCGGCCACAAATCGCACTGGATGTCACGGATGCTGATGCAAAGGCGGATTGCTTTGGTCCTTTTTTTGGTTTTTGTCTTTCGACTACGGAAACACTAATGCCGCATGCAACAGAAGATAGCGCACCCCCCTCCCTCTACAATACCACACCCGGTGGCAGTTCAACATGAGCCCAGAACATTGATAGACAACACTACGCCGACGTAGAATATCACCCCCCCCACACACGAGAACATTCTTGGTGATACATTTTTTTTCAAGAAAAACATGTTACCACGGATATTTGCTATTATAATGGCTTGTACCTCGTGTAACGCCTTTTTGTTACATGAAAAACGAAAAAAAAAAAAAAAAAACAGGATCAACAAGGCGTACTACCTGCCGCGATGGTGCTCCACCGCTGACTACGTCAAGTACTTCGAGGACGAGGGGCTAGTCGACATCAAGAGAGCAGACTGGACGGATAACATTCAGGTTGATTTGATGGCTTCGGTTGTCGAGGAGCATGTCCATGTTGTTGCTGCTTGCTTATCGGCAAACGTCGTGTGAGGCAAAAACAACGATGCCGGAAGGTAGAATGGGCTGCATCAATGCAGCGTGATGGTAGATAGTTGCTCAAGACCCTTCGGCATCCCGATTTTTTTACGGAGTTTGTTATCCTTATTCATTCCTCCTCTTGAGTATCATCTCTGAAAAGGTAACCGCCATTGTGCCGCGAAGGTTAGTCAAGGAAGGGACTACTGGTACGTTGTACGTTATTTGTTGTCTCTCCGAATCGCTCTCTGACCCGTTCTCGGGGCCGTTCTACGAATCGTTCTCTCTGGTCGTGTTGTTGCTCGATGTACGTCCGCAGCCTCTGTCACCCGCCCCTCTCACACGCTTTGGTAACCTATTTTCTTCCTATCAAAGTCTGACATATGCATATGTTCACCCCGACTACATGGCAATTTGATCGCTCCTTTTTTTTTTCGAATTTTCGTGCTCGGACCCATCTCCTTCTCTTTCTGCGAACCGTTCTACGAACGGTTCTCCGAACAGAACTTCTGGCCGGCTGTCATCCGATCTTCGTTGTCTTTTGAAGGCATTGTGGGCTTGCTTAAGTCGGGGCCTGTTACCATCCGCGGGGCGGTTGCCATGTTGGTAAGTGAATAGTAACGCCTGCGTGTGCTTTCCATTATTGCTTATTTGTTTTTCATTTTAGTTGAATTGCGCTGTCTTCTTCTGTCCTTCGCCAAATAATACATGAAACAGTCTGGTAATATTCTGCATTCTGGTTTTCTTTGATGTTTTAATTTGATTTCACTTACTGCTCTGTGGCCCATTCTCTGAGCCCCTTCTCTCTACCTCATTTTTTCATGCTTTCAAACAATTCTCGAGTCGTTTTTCCGAGGCGCTCTACTTGGAGCGGCCTTTACACCGATTCCAACACCTTTCCACGAGTCATCTATTTGGTACGAACTATCTGGCAGATATGATCACGTTTTAAAGGTTCTTGGGTGGCAAATGCTGTGTAAACACAGCAGCTGTGCCGGTAGTAAAGTTCTAGTGTTTCTACCCGTCCAAAGAAGCGTTTTCGATGTTGGCCAGCGCTACAACCCCGCGGCACAAAGCCTCAGCGGGTTTACCCCGCGGCACAAAGCCTCAGCGGGTTTGTACCCCAACTTGTCGCGGCGGTCGAAACCTATCCATAATAGGTGGTATATCACTGTGTAGCAGCCTCAGATGAGTTTTAGCCTTCCAATCGTTTGGACTTGCAATGGTTAGCACTGGAAAACTGCACGACCCGCTTGTGGCCCAAGCTACAGAGCAAACATTTGCGCGTCGATTCTACAGCTTTTTTGCACAAGCATGCTGTACCCGCCTATTCGAACAGTTTACGTACCCCCCCCCCCCTCGCCTTTGCTAATGAGAGGGTCGAGTGGGCGGGATGAAATGATCGGGACAACAGTGTCGCCCACCCGCTGTGCGGCTCAGCTTCCTGCACACCCATCCGTGATGTTTCTTGCAGTCGTTGCGCAATACTGCATCCCTATGATAGCACGCTGGACCCTGCGAAACGAGCCTAGCTCACACAAGATGCTACAACCCCTGGACCTATTTGCAGATCTCGATTACTCCGTGGCAGAAACAGTGGCCTTGTCGTAAATGACGGCGTACCATCTCATTCGAGTTTTTTGGCATCCTCTTCTTCGTGGAGTAATCGGGGTTTGACGTTCGCTCCAAGGGGGTGTGCTATCCTGCGCAACCTGCGGTGCCCAACTATTGCGACAGGCCAGCAGTATCACTACACACAAAGAGAAGGCCTCGAAGGGCAACATGTGCACGTTGTTCGATGGCAACAGGCCTCAGAGCGTACACCACGTGTTCATGTTCAAGATTCTACGGTTACACAACGAACGCCTGTTTATGTTATATCTACAATGACGAAGGCACAATTTTCTTCCGTTCGGTGTTTGTCAGCTTGCAATAGCACCAGGGGTATCATGGCAACACACCATCCGTGCGCCACCTTGGGGACCCTCACTGCCCCCCCTAGGCTCATTTTTTGCCCCGCCCCCCACCCCCTGTTTTTGTGCGAAATGCCTGGGATGTCTGTGGCTTTGCGTGCGCTCTCCAGCTGATGGTTCGAGGGTACAAGAGGGGCCTGGTGAAGTTCGGTCTCATCACCGGCAAGAAGCCGTGATTTTTGTTTTGGTGTATTCGATTGTTACCTTGGTTTCGTCAAGCCACAAGCAGCAATACGGCCACGCTGTAGAATTTATTACACCGTGAGAGCTGACGCCGGCATGGGGGGCGTGTTGGTGCCAGTTTGTGTAGTCAGCACGTTAGCACCCGGTACGACAAGAAGAAGGCCCTGCACCGTGTCGCGCTACCGTAGAGCGCCTTCTTCGCCTACTGGGTTCTCATGGTCAGCATGATTGTTTTACCAAGTTTGATGGAGTGTGGCCGTTGACTGCGGCAATTCACTCCAAAGGCATGATACGACTCCCGCAGAACGCACGGTACAGCAATCGCCTTCTACGTGTGCCTGTGGCTTTGGAACTTTGGAGGCCTTTATTTACCTTTTAGACCCTCGGATGAAGAGATTAGTGGGCCAGCTCTCTTCTGCCCGCCCGGGCGAGGACCTCGCCGCCCCCAACCGCCTGCCGTTCATTACGGTATTTCCCCCTGCTTGTTCACGCCCTTTCTCGGAGTAAATTTCTCGCGTGTAAATTACCCCGTGTAAGGTTTATCCCGTAATTGGCCCGGGACGCACCGGCCGGTTGTACGGCAACGAACGAGCAACGACTTTCCAGATTGCCATGCCAGAACTACAGTACACCAGCAGCGGGTCAGGCCAGAGGGCTCCGTTCACCTTGCTGGAAGAACACGGCACGGGGTAGACTAACATGCCGCCGTAGGTCGCGTACGACACGGATGCACACCAGCAGGGACCGTTTGTGCACAAAAGCTCGGTTGGTTGTGGTCTGCAGGAGGAACAACAGCAGGGGCGGTGTTGGATAGTGTCTCGTCGAGAGCTTTCCGAAAACATGTCGTCGGTTGAAAAATTTCGTCTCTTGGTCGTGGAGTATGTAGTGGAGCTTTGAGGTTCGGTCCACGGGGGTGTGATATCTTGTGTTTCCGACGGTAAACGGAGAAATAGTGTGCTGCCGTGTAGATAGAACTTACAACCAGGTTTTGCTCGTTCAGCAAGCAGAATAAGTTTTGGTTTCATACGGGTAGAGGAGCGAGTGTTTTGGTCTTGGGGACAGGGCGGCGCCGGTGGCGCCCGTGCACGGGTGGAATTATCCCCAAATATTTTTCGCCGCGTCAGCAATCGATCAAAGTTGTCGCTGTTTTTGTCGGGGCTTGTGTACCGGACCTGACGCCCGGTGCAGACCGCACGCTTTGCATGCATCCACTGAATCGATCATGTATGTGTTGCTTATATAAAAATATAAAAAAATTAATTTCGCATAACGCAAAACGCACACTATCGTTACGCGGCGTTGTATTCATCACTGGCGAACTAACTGCTGTGGACGGCACACATTCAGACTTCACCCACCGTATGACCTGTCCATAATGCACCGGGATTTGCCACGGGTGTCCCACACCCCCCGCGTTGGTGTGTGTTCACACATCATCCTTCACGTCCCAAAAACGCGATTGAGGCTGCATCCTCACCAGCACGAACGAACTCAGCCACCGAAGAAACAGCTTAGGAATGGATATTTCACGTCTACAACATCTTGCGTAGTTGTTAGTTGGTCCAAAAACGCCAGACAAAACGCCACGCTGCCACGCTATTGTATGCGTCTCGTCGTCAACCATCAGAACAGGGAAATCAACGGAGATCACGGAGAAGAAAAAACTCAACTTAGCAGTCTGAACAGCAGCAGCACGGCAGCAGCAGCAGCACAGCAGTTTGTCGGATTTGTTGGTACGCAGTTCAAAAGGTGCTCTGTTGTTGGTGGTGGTGGTGGTGGTGTTGTTGTTGATGTTGTTGTCTTCGCTGCGCTGCTTTTATGTGCCGTTGCGTAGAACCACGCTGTTGGCCTTCGAGGACCTCCCGTCCTCTTCTTCTATGCTTCTCGGTCACGCGTGTGCATCTCAGCAGATCAGGCAGCAGTACAGCATCGGTGCTTTCGTTCCACGAGGCCTGTGGTTCATCCTGAGTGTCCTGCTGTAAGCACTCCTCCTCCTGTACTAGCACCGGGCGACGTGTCGGGAGCTCTCTGGCTCCAGGAATCATCTCGATAGCGAGTGAAACTTCGAGCGGCCTGCGCGGTGTCGTGATGAGCCTACAGATGTGGTGGTGGCATCCGAAGTACGTACGTGTCGTTACGCTGTACCGGCACATTCGACACATTCGACAGTCCCGTGACCCCCACGATTCAGATATGTATAGATCGAGCTTCCGGGCGGTCAACCGGTCAGATACATACCCGCGCGCATCATCTACTACTACACTGCTACGCCTGGACTTGAGAAAAGGTCTATGCTCTAGGAGTGTGTGAGTATTTGGAAACCAACGAGCGCTGGCCACGTCGGTGAATGACTGCGCAGGTCAGGCGGGTAGGGCACGAAATATCTGTCGACAGGTGTCGGCGTGTCGGCCCAACCACTTTCCAAACGTCAGATTTCGCCATTTCAGATGTTGTAGTATGTAGTATCATACCAGCACAGAGAGCAGTTGCTGTCGCAGTGTGACTGTAAAAAGTGGAACATTTGGAACTTTTGATGTCAAATGCCATCCGTGTAAACGAAGTTGTAGGTCCCCTTCTTGAACAAAGGCTATTATACCACATCCTCGCTCTCCTCCTCCTACAGAGCCTGTTCCCTTCCTTCCCGACACCTCCTCCAGCAACGTCAACGTACAACACCAGTGAAGGCATCGCCTCCTCTCTTTCATTTTAAGGTGTGGGTGGGTCTTGACCGCGCGATGTTGGCCTCTCCGTGTGTCACGGTCATCATGGACATACATGATGATGCTGTACATGTAGTCTACTGCTGTAGTTGCATTTCTCAACGAGACGGAGGACCGTCGGTGGGGCAGTGACGACGACCAGCGCCCGACACGGATACGTCAGCAGCTAAACCACCTGCAGCAGTACAACAACAGCAGCAGTATTGCGCAAGAGGTGCCGTACCTTTCTCGTCACGTGCGGTTGGGCGTGCTTTGGTGTTGTTGGGCACTCTACAGCAGTAAGCCCTAAGCCGTCCCTCCACGCTAATGTCAACGCTTCGCGTTCGTACTTATTTCTCAGATTCTTCCTTCCGACTGGACGAAAGAGAGCGTCTCCCGATCATCATGACTAGACGACATTACCCAATACCCAATACCCACTGCTCTCAGTTGTATACCGCTGCGATATCGAATAGCAGCTGCTGGTACGTGTGTAACCCTTCGTGTTACCCTACGTCATACAAACACTTGGGCGTGATTATGACCCTTTATGTGGTGACATTGAACCATTCATTTTCTCGAAGCATTGCTACCGTACTCTGTAGATGATGCGCATCAGGACGGCAGATTGGGTGCGCACGTACGAACGTAAGCGAGCCTATGCGTGGTGTATTTTATTTCGTTTAACGAACATCGCAAGTTGTTTCTTATTATTCTGCCTCCTTTCCGCCTTGCCTCTCCGGCGCATTGCCCGTGTCCCTTTCCCTGTGCGTGCCTGTGTCGGAAATTCTTGCTCCAGTTTTTTTATCCCGGAGTATCGGCAGTTCAACAAGCGTAGCCAGCCATGGACAACTGGAGACAGGACAAGTGCACCGAAATCAACAAGGCACTCGAGCGCATCGAGAAGAGAGCAGGCAGGGTAAGCCGGATGATCAGCTCCTCTTCTTCTGCTCACAACCAAGAAGAAGACCAGCCGCAGCCGCCGCCGCCGCCGCAGCAGCAGCAGCAGCAGCAAGTCTCTACCCTAACCAACGAGCTGGCCAGACTGCAAGACATGAACGACCGGCTGTTCGACTTCAGGGACCGCCTGTGCTTCTACTCGAACCTCGGCTACGTGGAAGCTCTCAACGAGTGGCAATACGAGATTCGAAAGTAAGTGGAGCCGGGCGTCTGTTTCGTTTTCATCATGATGATGGACTGAACGGGTAGACTACTATTATTACTGTAGTGTGTGCTGGTCGTCGTTGGATGCATGATACACTGTTAATTAAGTACCCTTTGGTAAGCAGCTGCTGAGTTTGATCTTCTCCCTCTCTGGTCCGGTCAATCAACCGGCGGCACGCGAAAAGTCGTTCCATGAAGAAGTAGTGTTAATTTCGGGTTGTTGCCGGTTCTTTCCGCATCATTGATCGGTGTCCGAATTTTCCAAGAGTTTTTCAAGAAGCAGGTCGAGCGCGGCGCGTGTTCGGCGGGATACCTATCGCCCGCAGATGAGGCGGGATCCAATCTTTCCGACTCTAAATACCAGCATTCCTTCCGAGGCTTCTGTTGTTGCATTCATACATACATGCGCACATGTCCCTATCTTCAACCGCACCCCACGCCCAATCGAACCCCTTTTCTTTCAGGATCTGCGTCAAAGCCGAAGGCTTCGTGCACCATCAGCAGCGGCGCGACCCCCAACCCCGCCACCGCCACCGCCGCCACCATTCTTCAGGGGACAAGCACAGCAGCAGCAGCAGCAAGCAGCCAACCCTCGTGGAAGTGAGGTCGAAGTGACGACGCATGCGCCGCCACAGTGAACGACCGTCGGCCGGCCGGACGTGTTACAACCGCTGTCAGCCCCGGCCATCATTTTCTGCGATGCCGGTGAAAGGTTGCCGTTTGTTGACACTCAACAGCAGCGCGCCGCTTCCTCTTTTTTTTTTCCCGTCAATGGTGCGGTGGGCAGCGGACGGTTTGATGAAATTACGGCAGAACTGCCCGCCGTTGGTTGTCTGCAGGGAAGAGGAGGAGCGTTTTTTTCATCGTTTTTGCGTAACAGAGTTGGCCGTGTATTTATTTTTGTGTGAAACATCCCGCTCACGCTGGACGCTACTTTTTTTCACCTTCGGGTGTGTTTTCTGGAGGCATCATCAGCCGGGTCACAGGGGGGGAGGCACACGCTTTTTTCGAGAGCTGCTAGATAGAACATTTGTAGTGTACCATTTTGTTTTTTCGGGCGCAATACTGCTGTGGCAGTGACCTGCTAAATAGAGAGCACGGGGGGGGGGGGGAGATCACACTAGGCATGGGAAAAACTACTGCTCGTACACGAAGAACGCAATGCGTGTTGTCAACCACGGCTTCAACTGGTGTTGCAACATTCCGCGCAGCATCTACTGTGTACATAAAATCTTTCGTTGTAGGCCAAGTACTACGTACGTACCGTGTCCTTTTCTTGTCAGGAAGACGGTAAATAACACTGCAGGGAATGACGGGATCGAGGAAAAATAGAAGTGTAGTGTTGAACAACAACTTATAGACGTGATGCACAGTTCGTCGTGGATCTTGATGGTAGATTCTGGTTCTTCGTGTGTAGACTATGTGTTTTATAGACTGTCTTCTTCTTTTTCCAGTGTGCTATGCAACACAACTCTGATGGGAAATATAGGGACCATTGTGGTATTCGCGCCCGCAACCGAATGGCCATGATATTTTCGAACAGAGTTAATTAAGCAATTAGACTATGTTCTGCACGAATTGTGGTTCACCTGGAGCACGTCAGCTTTGTCGGCGAGTTACCCCCGACCGGCCATTCTTAACGGGGGCGGGGCAGGGTAGTGGGCAGGTTCCTCCGGTGTTTGTACATGCTTGCAGCCCTAGAGGACGATTGGAGAGCGTCATCGCTCTCAATCGTAACAACGGCTCACGGACATCACGTACGTATGCTTTCCCCTACTGTTGGTGCTATCCTGGCCTTGCGCCAGTGTTGGTTTGATATTAGAGCTAGCTGCTGTGTGACACCGTGTGATCGCTTCGAAAAGGAGCATTCTAGGGATTTTCTACCGCGGGAACTTGAGGCCTTTTACGACATGAATGTTTCGATGATATTAGAGGGGGGGCAAACGAACAGCCTGGGCAGAATCGACTGCAGCATGCGAGTACTTGTTTTTTCGCCTTTGTTCGGGCGGACACTAGCGCCCGATGAAAAAAGCACGACCGTGTTGGTGCTCAGTAGATTTAGATTTCTGCTCTTTTGAAACGGAAAGCGACGGCGGCGGCATTGATTGGCAGCCACAGGGTGCGCGCGTGCTTGATACATCTGTAGCCGTGAAGTGTTCATGCAAGGCGAAAGTCGGTCACGCTTAAGAAGACTTGTCTCGTGGCGTTGATCATGCGTTTTGCCTACGCGCCGCCGTGCGTTGGGTGTTAGGTCGGAGTTCTTAGGGTGGGGACGGAACGTACCGCCGTTCGTCCGCCTTCGGACAGAAAAATAGTGGTACTACAGTATCACGCGTTACCGTGCGGTGAGCACAAGATAAGTACGCTGACAGTACAGTGGTTCAGTCATGCGTTTTACCCTCCTATTGTGAGCAATTTGAGGACGCGCTTCTTTAGAGCAACCATCTATGCCGACGAATGTCTCACGGTCTTACCTGTTGGGTACTGACAACGTCGGACCAGTAGCTCTTGGCTGATGGTCGTGGTTACCCCCCTTGATTTGAATGCTTGCGTGCACGACGACGAGGAGCTTTCCATGCCTCTCACGGCCAGTGGGTATCTCGGCAACGAGCGGTGCTTGACCGCCGTAATATCAGTCTAGACTCGTCAAATTTACTGCTGTCATTCTCCAGCAGAATTTCGCCCACCTGCGGCAACCATTCAGCTGGGTTGCTCTTCACTCGAGACAAGATAGCAAGACTCGAAGCAAATAAATAGTGTAACCCGCTTTCTTTTTCCAAGGCATGACGTGTAGTCTATACACTTGGCGTTTGAATGGCCGTGGGTCAACGTGAAGTAGCGAGAACGCCGTTTGTATGCCGCGCGGGCACGTCAATCGGCCGATGATCGACATTCGTCCGTCAGGATCGATTGATTGCCCCGCTATCGTCCTGTGCGTCTTGTTGGTGAAATTTTAAATGCCGTTCATTCGTCGAACGCACAAGACGTATGTATTTGTAGGTTCAACCCTCTTCGCTGCGTACCAAGCCCTTTCGAAGACAGACCCAGCATCAAAAACCGTTACAATACAATGGAGTATGATAGAAGGTCTGTGGGTGCATACAAATAGGTGGACACCTGATCATGTGTGCATGGCCGTACGGGGTTGTTAAACCTCCAAGAATTGAGGAGGGGTTACGACAGTAGTCGTGAGCTGTATAGGTATCCTCTTTTTCCCTGCTGGTTCTCTCACACCGACAGCCAGGAAGCATGGTCCAGGCCCTCACTGTGATCAAGAAAAGACAGACCGACCCGGTCGATGGTCGGTGCGAAGCGTATCCCTGCATGGGACACATATACAGCTGACAAAACACCTGCCTGGAGTTAGACCGTAATAACCAGACTCAAACCGCTGGCGGACCTGTGCGCATTTTTCCAAGAAGGGTACAACCGCTCCGTTGCGTCACGGATCGGTTCCCACGCGGGAAACGAAAGAACGATGTTATATATCCTGAAAACCTAACAACTGTTGTTCTACAACACCCGCCGCCCGGTTTCAACGTAGCGTTACAAAAAAGAGACACCACACAGGGGGGGGTGATTCGTCGTTCTCAAGAAGAAGTTGGTGCGAGGCACAACTTGGCGTGTGCGCATCTGGTGCTCTTGCTGATGCTGCTACGGTACATGTGCTGGCGACCGAAACTGCCGGACATACTTACTTCTCAAGAGCGCGTTTTTTGCGTGCAGTTACACCCCCGCTCACCATCATCACCGTACATAAGCAACCTTTTCTTCCATATCCCCCGTCTCAACCCGTCTCCACGTTTTTCCATGCCATCTTGTCTCCTCCATCAGTTGTTATTGTTTGCCGCAACCTTTGGCACCACGGCGTTTCGAACAACAACCACACACCGCTCACTTCAGCGGGAGAGGTGGGAGAGGCCGGGCAGCCGGGGTTTTGGGCTTGGCGAGAGAGAGCGTTAATCGTGCTCGGGGGGGTCGTGTAGCTTGTGCCTGTCTCTCGTCTGTCGAGCGGAGGGTACACAGTAGCTGAACGTTCTCGGCATGCAGTCATCAGAGTTTTCCCTGAAACTCTGATATGGTATGGGCGTAGTTAATAATCACGCTCCACACCTGACACGTTTGGTGTTCCTGCTTTTTATCACCATTCATTGCTGGACCATAAAATTCATGCCCCGTGTGATGGCTACTTCCTCTGCTGCCCAAGCACGGCCTATACTACCGAGCAACGGCGTGTGATAGTGAGATTCCCGAACGTCGTGTTCGGTTGTCAAGGATAAACAACCGTACGTGTTTCCTACACGTAGTGGCGGTGTGGCGGTGTACTGTAGTAGTAGCTTTTTGAAACGGTACAAGTTTCATTTCATTCCGACCACATATCCATTCGTACATACCATGGTACTCTTCGAGCGTTTGTCAGTATCAAGACATAAGTACGTGACACTTTGCGGGAACGTTTGAGGACGAAACAACCCCCCCCCCCCCCC